AAGGCTCCTCTTTATTCCTCCTTCCCTGCTGGTAGCACCTTCCAGGGATAAGGCTCCTCTTTATTCCTCCTTCCCTGCTGGCAGCACCTTCCAGGGATAAGGCTCTCTTTATTCCTCTTCATGGGGCAGCAACCTTCCAGGGATAAGGCTCCTCTTTATTCCTCCTTCCCTGCTGGCAGCACCTTCCAGGGATAAGGCTCCTCTTTATTCCTCCTTCCTGCTGGCAGCACCTTCCAGGGATAAGGCTCTCTTTATTCCTCCTTCCCTGTGGCAGCACCTTCCAGGATAAGGCTCCTCTTATTCCTCCTTCCCTGCTGGCAGCACCTTCCAGGGATAAGGCTCCTCTTTATTCCTCCTTCCCTGCTGGCAGCACCTTCCAGGGATAAGGCTCCTCTTTATTTCTCCTTCCCTGCTGGCAGCACCTTCCAGGGATAAGGCTCCTCTTTATTCCTCCTTCATGGGGCAGCACCTTCCAGGGATAAGGCTCCTCTTTATTCCTCCTTCCCTGCTGGCAGCACCTTCCAGGGATAAGGCTCCTCTTTATTCCTCCTTCCCTGCTGGCAGCACCTTCCAGGGATAAGGCTCCTCTTTATTCCTCCTTCCCTGCTGGCAGCACCTTCCAGGGATAAGGCTCCTCTTTATTCCTCCTTCATGGGGCAGCACCTTCCAGGGATAAGGCTCCTCTTTATTCCTCCTTCCCTGCTGGCAGCACCTTCCAGGGATAAGGCTCCTCTTTATTCCTCCTTCCCTGCTGGCAGCACCTTCCAGGGATAAGGCTCCTCTTTAGTTCCCCTTCCCTGTGGGTGTGCCACTGATTATAGCTGTGGAACTTTCACCAGGTAACAACGTTACTGCAAGGTCACCAGGATCAGGTCTAGACAGACAGGCTACAACTCCCTCAGACCATAAACCTCATGGCCTTTCCCAACGAAAAAAAAAAGGTCTACTTCAGTTTCCTCTGCGTATTGTATATTTTTTTCTCCCTCTACTCGAAATAATGATAATCAATTTCAAGTCATGAATTAATCAACCCTGTACATCTATACACGGCCTCGATTCAGTCTCACAATGGGAGATAGAAAGTTGCATTTTCCTAAATGGCTTGTTGTTTGAGAGCCGTATCCATACCACTATGTGAACTAGCTTAAACAGGAATACTGTGTGACCGTTCGTGAGTACTTGAGAGAAGGGTCCAGGAGTTGAGACTCGTCCTTCGCAAGTATACACCTAACCCTCTTAAGTTATGCAACGTTAGGGTCACCTCCCCTATCTTCATTTATCCTGTGTGTTTTTTTTATATATTTATATCAGTCCTCTACTTAAGATAAGATAAGATTTCGTTCGGATTTTTAACCCTGGAGGGTTAGCCACCCAGGATAACCCAAGAAAGTCAGTGCGTCATCGAGGACTGTCTAACTTATTTCCATTGGGGTCCTTAATCTTGTCCCCCAGGATGCCACCCACACCAGTCGACTAACACCCAGGTACCTATTTGCTGCTAGGTGAACAGGACAACAGGTGTAAGGAAACACGTCGAAATGTTTTCACCAGCCGGGAATCGAACCCGGGCCCTCCGTGTGTGAAGCGGGAACTTAAGCCACCAGAATCAACTTATGATTCTTACATTAATGGTACACAGTACCGACAAATTGATGAATAACACACAAGTTCAACTCCTGGGTATAATTTTTGACGAGACGTTACGCCAACCAGAGAACATATACCGAGGACAGTAGAAATGCAGAGAAAAAATTGAGGTTTTTAATCGTGCAGTGTTGACAGATGCTCGACTCTGAAGCAGATATATGTAACTGTGGTAGCAAACCTTGATAATGTGATCTATGGAAGAAAATCATTGATCTGAATGCCTTTAAAAACATTTTACTGGTTCTTAGCTAGTCAAGGTTCGGTCTAGAAATTCCAGGAAGACTGGTCTTACCTTGGCTGTCTGCTTCAGGGTAGACTGGTCTACCTTGACTGTCTGCTTCAGGGTAGACTGGTCTACCTTGACTGTCTGCTTCAGGGTAGACTGGTCTACCTTGACTGTCTGCTTCAGGGTAGACTGGTCTTACCTTGGCTGTCTGCTTCAGGGTAGACTGGTCTACCTTGACTGTCTGCTTCAGGGTAGACTGGTCTACTTTGACTGTCTGCTTCAGGGTAGACTGGTCTACTTGACTGTCTGCTTCAGGTAGATGGTTACCTTGACTGCTTCAGTGTAGATGGTTACCTTGGCTGTCTGCTTCAGGGTAGACTGGTCTACCTTGACTGTCTGCTTCAGGGTAGACTGGTCTTACCTTGGCTGTCTGCTTCAGGGTAGACTGGTCTACCTTGACTGTCTGCTTCAGGGTAGACTGGTCTACCTTGACTGTCTGCTTCAGGGTAGACTGGTCTACCTTGACTGTCTGCTTCAGGGTAGACTGGTCTACCTTGACTGTCTGCTTCAGGGTAGACTGGTCTACCTTGACTGTCTGCTTCAGGTGACTGGTCTACCTTGACTGTCTGTTCAGGGTAGATGGTCTACCTTGACTGTCTGCTTCAGGGTAGACTGGTCTACCTTGACTGTCTGCTTCAGGGTAGACTGGTCTACCTTGCTGTCTGCTTCAGGGTAGACTGGTCTACCTTGGCTGTCTGCTTCAGGGTAGACTTGTGAAAACTTGAACAAAAAGCTACATTGAAGTGAGCAGTGTGGTGCAAGGTATAACTTGGTGATAATCGAGATATATTGCGTTAAAATAAAGGTTTTATACACTGAGAGGTATGTATGTGTGTATATGTGGTTGCAGAGGTCGATTCACAGCTCCTGGCCCCGCCTCTTCGCTGTTCACTACTAGGTCTATTCCCTTCTCCATGAGCTTTATCGTATATTTTCTTAAAGCTATGTATGGATCCTGCCTCCATTACATCACTCTCCAGATTGTTCCACTTCCTGACAACTCTGTGACTGAAGATATACTTCCTAACATCCCTGTGACTCATCTGAGTCTTCAACTTTCAGCTGTGACCCCTCGTTGCTGTGTCCCATCTCTGAAACATCCTGTCATTATCCACCTTGTCGAAGCCTCTCATTATTGTATATATACTGAGAGTATACTTCAATCTCCTCTACAGGGAGGTAACAGGCGACATGCAGCCTTAATGTTCATCGCGTTACGAAAGAGAAAAATAAAATAATACCGCTTATTTTTTAGGTAGTTGGCATATATTTTTGCTTGTTAACGGGGTTGACCAGTCAGCCAGCGGAAGGCTTCTGTCGAGTGACCAACCCTCCGTGAATGATCATCGTATGACTCAGATATACGTCAGAATTAATTTTCCCAGTCTTCCTGACAAACAGTTTACCACTGTAGCAATGTCAAGCTTAAACAGCAGTGATATATACAGTAAAACAACTAATACATAAGCTTCTAAACTCAGTTACTAACGGTAATGGCCGTCGAGTACTATATATATTACAGATCCCATTAATCAGCCTCACCGAGGTTGATTAATTCGGTTTAGTCGATCCCATTAAGGTTGATTAATTGGGTTTAATCTATATCTGTAACACGGGGGTCATTAAAGCTGGTAATTGGGTTTAAAACCCACACGAGGGCCATTCTTCAACACTGCCGCCAGCAACCTGTAACCAGACGATCTTACATGAGGTTTGTAAAGAGTTAGGAACAGCATTAGGGAAAGTCAACTCATCTGCAGTACTTACTTCATGCAGCCGAGCATCAAAACTCCGCTTGTATTCATCCATACAGGACTGGAATAACTTACCTAACTATGCCAATGCCAGTAGTGTCATGGACCAGTTCAAGGTTACACCTTGCAGGTGAGGCTGCAGGAAGGGAGGAGTGTCTTTTTTGCATTTATGTAATAATACACTACGGCTCGGTAATGTGCAATAATATACTTGTCCAGCATGAAACTTGTCCCACTTTTCTTTGTATAATAAATAATGATTCTGTAATGTAAACTGTATCAAGGGTAGTTTTTTCTGTACCTGTGCCTACGTTCTTTATTTTGCTGTGACTTGTAGGGTAACATGCAAAATTACTAGAAGATTGTTAGCAACAGGTGACATGCTCTCACCTAGTGCATCAAGACTAGTGTCTCTGAAAGATTATCACTATTATCATTGTATTCGAGGACGAGGGAAGCTCAAATTCCTTGGAGCAAGTGTCCTTTACTGGCATTCAAGCGGCCACCTTGGAAGGGTTAGTTATGTGTATGTGTGTAAATAAGCTCTGTCAAGCTAACCTAAGTAAATGTACTTACTCAGATTACCTTTACTAACTAAAAGCTTTGTTTTAATAATGTACAGAGGGTGGGTACTTGATAGATGGAAAATATGCCTTTATTTATGTAACATTTTTTAGGGCCGTAGCCTTTTTTCTCTTGGATGGGCGAAATGGGAAAGGCTTCAAGGTAGGGACCTATAATCACCTCATCTTGTATTGAATTTTGAAGGAAAAAGTATAATATACTTAAATAATAATAAGGTAATGGTGAAATGTTACCATTAAATAAAGTCAGGCCCTAAGTTAGTATTAAATGAGGGATAGCCTCTTATAACTGCAGCCTCCACCTGCCCCTCCCTGAGAATTTGTTAAGGCTACGGTCCTGATTTTCCACAATAAATTTTTCATCCCTTATAAAAACGTTAATCCAGTTTTCAATAACATCACTGTAATGTCTTGTGTGTTTGGTTCTTGCTGGCAGTGAAGGACTTGCTGAAAGTGATTATATCGCTAAGACAAAAAGTATTACACTGGTAAACCACCAGTGCGGAATTATATACCAGCTTTTAATACATGTAAATACTTGTGTCTTTCAGTTTATTTCCTGAAATATCTGTAAAAACTGCCAAGTTTACCAGTTATCAATGAGTTCCTTCATTGATGTTGCAAAGACTAAGATATTACTGGAGATATAGGTTAGTTCTCTGGCTGTGCTCACTCACTGCCCTCGTATAGCCTGGAGCACCACAGCGAAATCCTCCTCTTCCTCCCCAGCTCCTCCTGTGACACAACCAACCACATCACCAGCACCAACAACAACTCCAGAAGCCTCTCCACCTGAAGAAGGAAGCCCCGTAACCAAGCAATGTCAGCAGTTATGTCCCTTCAACTATGCTCCCGTCTGTGGAAGCGACGGGGTCATATACACGAACCAGTGCTCCTTTTCCAACGCTGTCTGCATCAACCCAGACCTCGTCAGGGCCAGCTTCGGCCACTGTGGTGGGTTTTAAAGGGTCTTGTCAAGGTATTTCTCCGTGGGTCCCTTCACAGTAGCCTACCATGAAGTTGTTGGTCTGTTTATTAAAAGAATTCAAGCGTTTCCCAAGGTATATACTAATCAAATATTTTAGTCTTAGCCTGAACTGCAGGTAATATTTTGTTATGTATTCTTCTAGGTAATATTTTGTTAATGTATTCTTCTAGGTAATATTTTGTTAGTGTATTCTTCTAGGTAATATTTTGTTAATGTATTCTTCTAGGTAATATTTTGTTAATGTATTCTTCTAGGTAATATTTTGTTAATGTATTCTTCTAGGTAATATTTTGTTAATGTATTTTTCTAGGTAATGTTTTGTTAATGTATTCTTCTAGGTAATGTTTTGTTAATGTATTCTTCTAGGTTATTTTTTAATATTTTGTTAATGTATTCTTCTAGGTAATATTTTGTTAATGTATTCTTCTAGGCACAAATTCGGATAATTGTTATCTCTAGGTTCTTTTTTGTCTGATTTTTTTATCTAGATGATATTATCTAGACGATACTCATCTAGAGATGAGTATCATCTCTAGATGATACTCGGTAACTATCAATTTGATAGAAGAGACAGTGAGCCGATATGTAGATAACAAATACACATGAAATAACGTAAAAACTTTATCAATGCTTCGCTCAAAGAGGACTTTACAAAGCTTGATAAAGCTTCATGCTTTTTGATGTGTTTGCCATCATTTATTAGTTTGGACGTTCCTAAAGACTGTTAAAGTCTCCCTCCAGCTTCTGTCGTTCTCTTCAGTTTTTCTCCCCATTTTTTTTTTTTTTTGCAAATTCCTAGTTACATTCTCCCTTCCGGATGCTTTATTCTTACAGTATTCTGTTTTCTATTATTTAGTAATCTCTTATCCATGGTCCATGGTCATACTGGTGATTTTATCCCTCTGGTCTTCATCGATTTGTCAAGTACTGTGTGGCATCGCATCAGAAACTTTCTCACAACCTAGTAATAGACAATATTCTCATCATTCTGTGTTTTTGTCAAAGGTTTTGTATGAGAGAATGTGTGACATGATGTTGTTGTGCATTGATTTTGTACGTCGCTTTTATTTACATTTGTATGTTTTCAACAGTAAGAGCACCGGAATTGGTACCTGTACCTCTCCCTGGTACGCCACCGCCACTACCACCATCCATAACCTCACCACAACCCTCCATCCCTGACCAATCAGTCACCCACACTCCCATCTCCCCGACTCCTGCTCCAGTTCACGAGGAAGGTGGTGCAGGAGGCGAGGATGCTGCTCCGGTGTGCCGTGCTGCCTGCACCCGGATCTACTTGCCTCTGTGTGCCAGCAACGGGAAAACCTATAACAACCGGTGTACCTATGAACTGGCATCTTGCTTGTCCCAACAGGCAGGAGGTCCTGAGATAACAATTGTGTCAGAGGGTCCTTGTGGTAGGTAGCTTAATCATTTCTTAATAAAGATATGATTCCATAGTCTTTATACTTTAGTAAAACTATACTTGTTTATGTTTGGGACAACACATCCCCCAAACAAGTCAGTATTTTCTTCTTGCTTTGCCTGTTATTTGGTGATTCTTGGCTATTTGAGTGGAGTGTAAAACCCAGCTAAGTTAGGCTAGTTAACTACTGAATGAGACATCATATGACATAGACCCAGACGAACCAAACGACATATACGGTGTTGCAATCCTGTGTAGTTTTTAAATGAAGGGCACAAACTACCTCTGATTGGCCATTGTGTGCTGTTTCTGCACTGAAAGGGTCATATGTCAAAGACCTGTTTCAGAAAAGACTCTTTTAGATCTACGAACAAAACAAGCAAAAGACCACCGATGATTAGCATGCAGGTGCAACAGCATGATTAGCATACAACAAGCAGTTATGTGGTAACTTGAATGAATGAACCAGATTCTTGTACCTCTTATTGATTTACGTTCTGGGACACCAGTTGAAGAAGCCTCCCACGACCATCAACTATACACTTCATCCTGCTGGTTGCCTCCTGACCCTCCCAACTCCTGCCGCCGTCTTTGTCATCCCCTCCTTGTGAGCCAAGTACTGTCGTCTGTCATACATCTCCATCCACGCTTGCAGTACTTCTGTATCACATGTCCCAAAGTGATTGGGCCACTTGCCTTTTTTTTTCCTCCTCTCCTCCTCCCTCCCATCCTTTTCCAGTATTTCCATCCTTCCTCATTCTTCTTCCTTCCCATCTCATGACAGCTCTTGTCGTCTTCCTCGTCCTCGTCGTCCTTATTGACTTACTATAAACAAAATGACGTTACAGTACACAACTTGTTCATGTTCTATATCTTTCAGTAGTTTTCAAAGAACGTCACAAACAAAAAATAAAACAAATGAATCACTTATAATTTTGTCTGCGACAGATGAGGGTGACGTTGGCACTGGAGTCGAGGACCCTGTTGCCTCTGGAACCGGGGAGATAGCGAGTCCAGATACTAGGGATCCTATTGTTTCTGGAATTGGGGAGTCCTCCCTCCTGTCCTGTTGCTGTTTCAGTGTCTACCTGCAAGAAGAAATGCAGTAAGATCTACTTCCCAGTGTGTGGTAGTAATGGCGTCACGTACAGCAACAAGTGTCTCCTGGAGGTGGCAGACTGCAAGAACAAGGAGGACAGGTGGCAGGGGGATAAACATCTTGTACGAGGCACGCTGTGGTGAGCGTTCCTTCAAGTACTTCATACATTAAAAAATACACAAAATACACAGTTAATCGAAGTCCCTCGGAAGAATGGCAACCTGTAATTCAGTGGTTAGATTACTCTGCTGACAAGCAATAGGCTCCGAGTTTTATTCCTTACATAAGGAATGTCATTGTCTAAGTAGTAACCAGGTACTTGGGTGCTAGTCGACTGTTGTGTGTGAGGCATCCTGGGACTAGGGATGTGGGGAGAAAGTGGCTATGAAACAGACTGAGGTACGAGAATAGCTGCTTCAGCTCAACGTATGTAATATATTGTTATTATGTAACGCCTGGAGGGAGTAATTCAGTTAATTTATCAGTCAGAAACAGTCATCAATCCTAGGACACCACTGTGTAGTGTACCTTGCTATTTTTTAATAGTGGTAGGAGTAGGGCATTACTGTGTAGTGTACCTTGCTTTTTTAAAATACTGGTCGTAGAACTTACCGTCACGTCATATTAGGCTACATTTGTTATGGGCTGGACTGGTGTGCCAGCTAAAGGCCTCATTAATATGACCAAGAGTTCCATTGACTGGGTCAAGCTGGAAGACATTCTACCATTTCTCCTGACAAATACAATAACCCCATACCTAAAATGGCCATTCCATAAACCAGTTAGGTAATCATTCAAGTTTCTATTCCTTCAGAAGAGCAAATCCCTGTCGATCCCCCGTCTCCACCAGTCCCCGTCGCCCCTTCACCCTCTCTAGTCGAGCCACAACCTGTCGACCTTGGTCCTGCGGAAGAATCAAATGGTGACGACCTTCCCCTGGATGTAGTAGACGTAAGAGAGGAGTCTCCATGCTCCGACACCTGCACACAGGTGTCAGCGCCTGTGTGTGGTAGTAATGGGCGTATATACAACAACATCTGTCGTCTCAACCTGGCAAACTGCTGGGACAAGCGGCAGGGAGGCGTTGGTATAGTAGAGCAACGAGCAGATTTTTGTGGTGAGTAAACACGGGCTTGTTATTATTTCCTTCGTGATGAACATAGTTTGAATATTATTTCATAATCAGTGTTCTTACTCTTTCTCCTGTATTTATTCATCCCCTATTCTCTGGGGGATTGTAATAAATATCTGTGTAAGGACTGGATTGTAGTATCCATGTAAGGACTCTGGGAAATCGGTTAGCAAGGATTTAGTTTATGAGGTCATGGCGTACAAGGCCAGCACTCGGAGTGGGGTAGAGACGTTGCAGTTCTGTGAGTCAAAACTGAACCGCGATATCTGTGCTCCTCTGGAAAGACAGCTAAAGAGTGAATGATGATAAAGGTTTTTTCTTCTTTGGACCACCCTACTTCAGTGAGAAACGGTGGGTGAGGTAAACTAAATTAATTATATTTTTATTTCTATCCCATAAAAATTTGTATCCTTGGTTTTGCATTGCATTGATGTATTAACAGAAACTACGGTTGTAATGTAATGTAATGCATTAGTGGTTTACAACACCCAACACCAGGTGTTTTCACATGTGCAACAGGTGTTGTCACATGTGCAACACCTGGTATCTTTATTGTGAAGACGTTTCGCCAGCCAGTGGCTTTAACAATTCCACTGAGAGACATTCACAATTATAATGATTCCAAGAGGTGAATGATACTATTGTAACACCTCTATGGATGTCTATTTGTGCGATATCGATATTCCATTTTGGTTATCAGAACCCTAAATAACTTAAGTTGACAAAGACGAACTGTTCTCCACAGAGCAAGCAACAGGACTCGACTTACAGCCGTCAGGACATCAGGTTCCCAGTGTCCCCTTGGTGGACACCCCCGTCACGGCCTCCTCCTGCCCTGAGCACTGCGGCAGGATCTACACACCCTTATGTGGCAGCGACGGCCTCACTTACAACAATCCGTGTTTACTCGAAATAGCAAACTGCAAGAATAAAGAGGCCGGAGGAATCGGCGTCGTGTCAGTTGCTGAGGGTCCCTGTGGTGAGCTGCTGATTTTTTTTTTTAATTCCATTTGCACCGTGACTTATAAACATCATACCTGTTACTCTGTTAAGTTGGATATTAAGTCCAGGTATTAGAATTCGGGACAACCCTCCTGACAATTTATTAAGAATATTCATTATTCCTAATAGGAAACAGCTTTATTTGTAACGAAGACATACATATCTTATCTCGGTATTTCAACGAGAATATTTTTGTTGAATTTCATTTGTAAAAGCTGGTTCTACATCCGATACAGCAATTAAGGCTGTATGTCAACTGTACATCACCAATCAAGAATACTTTAATACATTAGGATACAGGAATTGAAGCAAGCTATAAGTGTACATACACTGAGATATACACCACTCTATGTATATACAATGCTTCTTTCACTACATTCAAATTAAGAGAGATTCTATACCAAATGAATAATCACTAATCTTCATAAAAAAAATTTCCGAATCAGTGAAAATTTTGTTGGGTGGGTGGGTCAAGAGAGGCTACTAGAGTAGCCTAATGACTTAATTTAGCCGAGTTTCCCCTCCGTCCTGACCTAGGGGCTCCGGATGTCTCTGGAAGTGAGCAGCCTTCTGTTGCTGCTCCAGTATCTCCTGCAAAGAGCAGTGCACTAAAATCTACATCCCCGTGTGCGGGAGTGACGGTGTCACCTACAACAACCCTTGTATCCTGAAGGCGGAAGACTGCAAGAGGAAGGAGAAAGGAGGAAGTGGTTTGAGCATCGCCTACGAGGGCCGCTGTGGTGAGTATCTCTCTGAGATAGACTCTGTATTGTAACAGCCACTGGAACTAGTTTAATAGCTTATATACATGTTTTGGGAGTTGAGAATGGTCTTTCGTTTACATAAGTGAACGGAGTGAACACGCATATTTTGTGTACTATTGTGGATGTTGTACTGACAGTCCAGATAAGAAGCAATTTTTTTAATTTGTTCGAAGCTGTAAGTGCATTAACAAGAAAACGTTGCATTTATTCTCCTAAATAGTGTTCTTAATTAAAGTTGAAGCACATTTGTTATCTTTCGTTACTGGCAACGCTAAACCCGTAGGAATATACAGCACCTGTGGGGGGGATGTGGACGGTATTCAGGCTTAATTCAGGGAACTGGAGCACAGATCCAATTCCCTAGATCAAGAGCCCCTCACCAACATCAAGGAACCTTCCTTGAGGGGTGTAGTTCTCAAGACGAACATTTGCAATGAAAATGATATGATTTTTTGTGCCCTTAAAATTGTAATACCTAGAATTTATAAAAAAGTAACATTTTAATGTTTCATAATGTTCTGAGCCAAATATGTATTTATGTGAAATAGACGCTAAATGTATATGGAATAAGTGTATTTTGATATTGCAAAAGTCAATTGTGCTGTATGCGACGAGTCTGTATATTTTTATATTTAAGTAACTGAGCCAGTCATCAAAATCTGTCATGCCTTGAACGATACATTGTTCCACAGAAAGACCAACTGTTCCCGGGCAGAAGCCGTCAGGACATGAATCAGAGGTTCCTAGTGTCCCCTTGGTGGACACTACAGTCACACCAACCACAGCTTCCTCCTGCCCTGAGCAATGCGTCAGGGTCTACACACCCATGTGTGGCAGCGACGGCCTCACCTACAACAACCCGTGTTTACTTGAGATAGCTAACTGCAAGAATAAGGAAGCTGGAGGAAGCGGCGTAGTACTTGTATCTGAAGGTGCATGTGGTAAGTTGGTTTGTTGTGTCTGTCATTCCACTGAAAGTAGATCAGAAACAAATTTACCATTTAAAAGCAATCCACGACACACTGTCATCCCACTTTTTATTCTTATATTCTGTTTTGTATTCATGTGCTATTATATATTTTTATTTTCCCTTAAAAAGCTCGTTATAAGAAACCAATATGTTACCCAAAGAGGTACTTTGCTAATACAGTTATAATTTAGTTAAGTTTTAATTTAATTGGTCCCTGTGTAGGGGATCCTTCTGGCCTTGTAGTTGTGGATCGTGTTGCTGCTGAAGACGATCATCCAGTTGTCTCTGCAGTTGGAGATTCCTCTCCTGTTTCTTCCCCAAAATCGTCTTGCAAGGAACAGTGCACTAAGATACATATCCCCGTGTGTGGCAGTGACGGTGTAACGTACAACAACTTGTGTATCCTCGGGGCGACTGACTGCAGGATCAGGGAGACAGGAGGAACTGGAGTAAGCGTCGCCTACGAGGGCCTTTGCGGTAAGCAACTTTTGCCAAGACAGTATCGGCTTTATTTTCATACGAAATCAAATCAGTATAGAATATTTTGACGTGTAACACGAATTCTCATGTTGTGAAAAAAAAATATTTGCATCAGTTTAATGTACAATATTTTTTACAAGCACTGGTAGGTTTGCCGGATGGACTCCTGACTGGGTTGGTTTTTTCCTAGATTTTATTATTATTAGTATTATTATTATTATTATTATTATTATTATTATAAAGGGGGAAGCGCTAAACCAGTAGCATTATACAGCGCCTGGGGGGATGTGGAAGGCATTCAGACTTAATTCGGGGAATTGGAGCACAGATCCAATTCCCTAAATCAAGAGCCCCTCACCAACATCAAG